TTTATTTATAAATTATATTATTATATTTATTTGATTTTGTATTTAGAAATCATCCCACATTATTCAATAGTTTAACCAAGAGACAAGCCGGCGAAAGATCTGATCCGACAGCGAGTTAACGCGAATCAACTGAATAATCATGTTATTTATTATGGATTTGCCGCCGCATATACATTTATGTTACACATTGTATACACAAATTTGACAGCACCATGATCACTCACCGCGCATGAGCGCGGACAGGGATTCGCATCCTGAATTTTTTTGCGCGTTCGTAAACTCATCCAAAAAAAAAGTGTCGCAACCTCATTGCTCCCGACTGTACACCTAATATTATATTCTCTGTCCTTTGTTAATGTAATCTCTCAATTCCTCAATCTGCTTTAAGAATTTCTTGAAAGCCGCTGTTCATATAATCTCTCAATTTCTAAGGCAGCTTTAAGAATTTCTTGAAAGCCGCGTATTGTTCTCGCAATGATGAAAGACGAGTCATCGAAGTGAGGAAAAATGGGAGAAAAAAAGAAGATTGTCCCGATAAACTTGACCGAGATAACAGTTTATCGAGAAGCCTGAAAGTTTCTTTATTCAGTATCTTTTTCTATGCTATTTCCTGGCTAGATAAATATGATTCAATAGAAAGAAGTATGCGATGAATGCAGTTTTTTTTCAACAGGCTTTTCCTGCGACTGATATGCAACGACTGACTAATAAGACAACGATTTCTATTGAGATATTCATTAGCATTTCCGCTTATCGTGTATCTATCTTATCTATGCGTTTTTACACGCTTTCATAGTGTACGAAGAATATACGTGGGTCCGATGAGAATGTCAGTTCCCAAAGAAACAGAAATCTCGAGATCGATTGCGTAACTTCCCCGTGGGTACGGAAAGGTGAAGTGTGACCACACATTTCCATACTTATTCCGCCGAAATTATATGTGTGCGCGACCTTTTCGTCTAATAATACGACCGTACAATACGTAAGATAAAAAGTTTTAGCTCGCGCAGAACTGAAACGTGAAAACTAAGATTTGTTTAATCGTTCTATCGAATTTCGCATTGCGTCCTACTTTTTGTATAATTTTATACAATTTTTATCGCAAAGATCCGTTGTCCGAAATCACTAAACTGTAAGAAAGAAGGGAAACGCGCTTTATATCGCAGCGAAAGAAAATTTTAAGATCATTTAACATTTAATCCCTGAGGCCTCTCTTCGACGATCTAATATAATGTAATTCGTGGCAAATTTGAGGATAGAATGTGACTTGTAGCTTTGTATGCCGTGTAGTACAAGAATCCTCTGAAATATTTTGCTAAAATGTGTTTGAAAATCTCAAATTGATCCCGTTGTTTTAGCACCTCAGTAATATTTTGGTAAAAATTCAGTAAAAAATAAATTAAAAAGTAACAGTTTTCAGTTAAATTCAGTAAATTTTACATTGAATATGTCATAATGTTTTTTACTACTTTTAAACAGCATTTTAACTTTTTTTACATTTCACAGTTTTACGTTAAATTTTATAAGGAAAATTATGATTCATGTTGGGATTTACATTTAGTAATTTTTCAATAACTTCATCTCACTTTTCATCGACTTCAAAATACTTTCTTAACAGAATATTTCCATCTCAGAGTCGTGGTTGAAGAATCAAAACAGGATAACGTGTAAAATCTGCATCGAAATACGTGCGGCTTATAAAATCACGACTAGAAGTCCGTCCCGAAAATCCGACGTAGGTTGTGGGTCGTCCAAAGTGGGCTTTAAGGCTCCGAACATCTTCGCCGAAGACGAACGTACCGGATTCATTTTCGAGGAGATAACCCGGCCCGGGGATTTGAATAGACGCCGAGAAAGCTGGCAAAAGTTAACGGGAGTCGATATTTTTATTCGCGCCGCTCATATCGCCTTCATTTGATATTTGCGGCTTGAATTTACTTTCACCACTGGCCGCTAATCTCTCGGCTCGGCCGTTCCTTTTACACTTTACGGGATACGCTGATTACACGGCACGCAAGCACCGTATACGATCCTTCGGATCACACTTGTGAATATTTGTATAAATGTATCTTCCCCTAACAGTACACTAATAGCGAATTCGGTTGTTTGCACTAATGCGCACTGAGTGCATACTAAGACTGTTTGTAGTCAATTTTTATATTTAAGGATCGTCTTAAACCTCTTGAAATATTTCTTAGCCAGAAAAATGATTTGTACAGCGTTCATGCGGATCATTTTTTGACTAAATACTGTTTGAACATCTATTTAAGACAATGTTAAATATAAGAATACCGACTAGAGGAAAATCCGCTATTACAAGATAGACTTCTAATATGAGATAGGTTTTAACATCCAAATTCAATCACAAATCTTTTTCGCGATGATTATCGCGATTTCGCGAACACTGAATTTTTCATTAAACAGATTTCACTCCAAGGGCAATAAATTCATGGAGAAACTCACAGAGGTGCCTTTAATTTAGCACAAATCCCGCTACCTCATGTTAGGAGCTTATCTTATACTAGGGCATTTTTCTCTGTAAACAAGCTTTAGTTTGTGCACTCAGTGCGCATTAGTGCCAGGGACCGAAATCGCTAATAGATTCCGAGAATAATCCGGACGATATCGCAAAAGTAGAGCATTATATAGGGAAGAGACGAGTGATGCCACTCGTTAGGGTCGAGCTGCGTACAGTTTCAGTCTACCGACTTAACGTGGTAGCGCAAAATACGCTAATATCAAACGCAACACTCTCAAAGAGACGTTGCGCAAGAGTCAGCACGTGAGGTCATCGGCGATCTTATCAGGATTAGCTTTATTGTTCCCCTTAGGGCTACAATCTTCTCACAGACCTAAACTTATTCTAACTTATTCTAACTTATCCTAGACATCCTACAATTTAACAATTTCACACGTAAACACGTACACGTACGTCTTTCTTTCTCTCTCCCTGTCCCCTCTCTCGATTTCCGCTTCCTCTTGCTTTGTTTTCATTTTCTTTCGATTTTACTTCCCCTTACCATCGGCAATCTTATTATATACATAAATTTTTTTAATTGGCGAACGCCCGAAGTGTCTCTCGCCGATGTCGAAGAGAGTACGTATCCGCGAGCTGCGGATATTAGCTCTGCCCACGTTGAAAAATGTTTTCTACGGCCAAGCAGGCCGCCATCGCGTCCTCTAGTCCTGGACCACGATACCACCTCGTTAAAGAGTCGAGTTATCGGCGACCAGTCCTGGTTGCCAATACTAACCGCCTACTCGTTCGTCAGGGGCGGTCCTACCTCTATGATCCAGGAACGTGCGAATAACGAGCCGAGGACTCTCCGCTGTGCCTCGGAAATCAAAACAAATCCGTATATTTCGTATAATTGTGTCAATAGATAATATATGAATATGTACACTGAACAGGCAAACATGTATGATAACATTGAACCAAATTGGTTCTACACTTAAGAGTTAAATTATTTTAAACAAGCATTCAGGCCCGGTTTTTCATTTTCTGCCCGGGAAAAAAATGAAAAACCATCTCATTATATGTATATGTCTCAATCTGTGTAATATCTAATTATATTTCATGAGATCCAATTCTAAAATTCAGCAGATTTTTAACGATTTGACACTTTTCTCGAATGTTCGACGTTATTTATTGAGACCTAACTGAATCTAATTAAATGTTCTATTAAGACATTTAATAAGATCTCAATGGACATAACTTGACGAATATTCAAGAAAAGTATCAGATCTCGGAAGATTTGGTGATTTTAGAATTGGATATAATTAGATATTACGCGATTGAGACATATACAATGAGATATTTTCATTTTTTTCCCGGGTGGTTAATTGTTAACTAGAGGTCAGTCGATTCTCTGTCTCTTCTCAGATAATAAATAGAAAAAGATGGAGTGTCGATTAATTTCCGGTTAACCAGAAAATGAAAAACCAGGCCTAAGATTTCGGGTATTATACTTCATATTATGCGATATTTAATTTAATATTATTAACAATGATATTTAAAAATAGATTTAATTTTGAATAAACGTAAAGTTCGATCGAGAGAACGACAAAGAGATAGAAAAGAGAGAATGAGCTCATTGATACCAACGTTTTTATTTGACAAATTACGAACCAAACGCGATTCACTCATATGTACATCCTCCTTTTCACTCGTTCGTATTTTCATTCAGTGTTCATAGTCTTATTATATTATTCTTAAGATCATTATCGTCTTAGTATGTGATTTTTGTAAGTTTACCCTTTTGTGGAAACGCCTTTCAACCCTTGAAATTCATGCTTAATCCTAATTGCGAACACTAGACACTTGAATTCCTTCAAACGCTGAAGTATTGAAATTTCCCTTAACGGGAAAATATGCGGTCGAACCGAGGACCCCACCATAACTAATAACTCGTGTTAGCACAGAGCTGCACGTTATTCCGCTCTTAGTATTTGAAAAATCACAAAGGTTGTCTAATAACTTCCGCCCGAGCTCTTGCGATTCCGCGTTCGCGGAATCGTCAGAGCGACATCAACGAGGCGACAATGAGGCTGCACGCATTTGCATACTGCAAACGAGACCTTGCCCGTTGTGTCAAGCGAGAAGAGAGAGAGAGAGAGAGAGAGAGGGTTCGGGACGATCGAGCTGGATCGAGCTCCTCGCTTGAGGGAAGCGGGAGCGAGCGGGCTTCGGTACGGGCCTGGGAGGCGGTGAGCTCGCTAGAGAGACGACTCGGGACGACGACTGGCATGGGCCAGACAAACAGACTGGCACTGGCATCGCGAGAGTCGCCAGGAGTCACCCGCGGTGACCCACGGTCACTCCACGGCCCACCGACGACGTCCGACCGCCGCGTACGCGCTGGTCCCGCAGCTCCGTGCGAGTCAGTCGTTGACAGACGAGGTGCTCGATCGCACCTAGCGAGTTCCCCGGTCCGGGTCCTCTCGATCCTGGCGCAGTCCGCCGATCCCGATCGTTTCCTCGTCGCGCCAACGATCGGCGATCGACCCTTGGAGCTCGTCAGCTCTGCGAGCATCGGACGCTCCGGATGGAGCGCCTCGGAGTGTCGAGCAGTGCATCGGCCAAGTTCCGACAGAAATAAGGATATCCGGGCCAAGTGTGATCTGTTTTTTTTTATCATTATATTATTAGAGATTCAGACCAATTGGATTTTTAAAGATTCGAACGATTATCGCGGAGTTCGGAGCGTGGACGTTGTGGTTTCCGCCGAGTGAGGAGAGACTGTCGCGCGAAAACAGAGAGAACTCCTTGAAAGGCGAGAAGAACCTACCCGGAGCTGGACCTGGAAACCCTACGGAATTGTCCGGCGACGGAAACTCGAGTTGCTTTTGGAAAAGAAAAGCGCGACGGGGTGCCGGAAGAGCGTTTTACTCGACATGTGACGTGACGCGGACGCGCGGCGCATCGTCGGAGTGGAAAAGCGCAATGCGCGGCAACTTTTCCGCCTCCCTCGTCGAAGTTGTCGAAGTCGTCGAGTCCCGGCAGAGTCGTGTAGAATCACGCGGCGATCGGGACGGCCGCTGAGATTTTCATGGTACCAGCGGGCGAAACGGCGGAGCAAGTCGCAGGCACGAGGTCACCAAGCCGCTAAGGACACTCGAGGACGAAGAGCGCCGTCTTCGGCCGCACGCGCGCGTGTGTGTGTGTAAGAGAGTGCGCGCGCGCGCGTACGCGATGTCCATTCTTGACAGCGGAGCCGCAGCGCGCGCGATCGCCGTGCCGGGGAGCGTCGCTGATCCAGATCACCGTTCACCAGGATCCGCATCGATCAAGATCACCGTTACTCAAGAATCTCTCGACCGTCGGTCGCTCGCTATGGGACCGTCGAGTCTCTAGATTTTCAGAGCCGTCTCGACTCGTACGTTCACGGCCACCGTGCTCGGACACTCTCGTCTCGCGGTGACCCTTGGAATCGTTCGCTCGTGGTGCCCGAACGACGTCCGAATAGCTGGAGAACTTTCGTGCGGTCGCCTCGCGGAGATAAGGACGCGCCGCGTATCGCGGCGTTGAAGACATCGCGAGAAGAGAAAGGAGCCTCCCTTCTTGCGCAGATAAATGAGCGGAGGAAAGTGAGGAGAGGAAAGGAAGAAAGAATTTGCGAGGGACGGGGAAGAGAAGTCGGAGAACTCTGTTCAGTGATTACGGCACGAGCCCGAGTATCTCGCGGAGCGCGGGAGGAGAGGGAAAAGGGAGGAGAGCAAAGGGGCTCGAAAAAGGGAGGCAGAAAGGAAAAGGACGTGGCGATTAAAAGATACCGGCCTCTCCTCGGCATCGTCATGTCGATCCAACCCCTCTCCGTTTTGCTGATCCTCGCAGCGATCCTCGGCGACTTGACCGTCGGTAGCGCGGAGAAGATCAGCGGTTTGTACGTGGACAACGGTTTCGATCAGACGATAATTCACCACGTGGTAAACCAGCGTGAGAAACGCGAGGTGGAGCACGAGATCCTGAATCTGCTAGGACTCCCGGATCGTCCGCGGAACATGGTCGGCCGGCCGTCCCAAGTGAAGAGGTCGGGGTCCAAGTTCCTGATAAACGTCTACAAGAGCGACCTTGGCGAGGACGAAGAGGGGAATCCCATGGCGCATCGTCGCAAGGCCGGGGAGTTCGATCTCAGCAGCGAGGATCTGAACACGATCCGTCAGAGCGATGTTATCAGGACTTTCATGCAACGCCGTGAGTTTCAATCAAATTGACTGTTTGTGAGGGGCGGCTTATCGAAGAGTAACGCGGATTTGTCGATTGATTTCAAGTCGATTTTTTCGTAGCTGGAGCAAGGCATCTATGCTTCTTATGTACTTATAATTATTTCATTGCAGAATTACATCTTGCCTTGTTCTTATATGGTTATATTATGTTATTAAAGATTCGTGGCTCTCCTGCGAATTAAGCTGTGGATGCGTAGACAGGGAATAATTGTTCATTATTAAGTTAATTTTATTATCTTTCCCCTTACTTTACTTTGAAGTTTGAATGTACCGTGAATTTTTTACACATAGAAGAAAGCCCCCTATTATGAGATAGGCTTTTAATACGAGACAGTGGAGTTTCTGTTAAATTAATTGGCATCGTCTGTTGGTTCCACCATGAATTTATTGCCCTTGGAGTGAATTCTGTTTAGCGGAAAATTGATCGTTAGATCGTGTAATCGTTGCGAAAAAGATTTGTGAGTGAATTTGAACGTTGAAAACCTACTATTTCATATTAGACTCTTATCTTATAATAGAGGACTCTCTTTTATATTAGTAACGTATATACATTTAACATCGATTATTGAGATACTGAGAATGAAGATCAAAGCACGTTCTCGCCAAGACAGAACCGGCGCTAAATTGATCGAGGAATCGGCATAAATTCGAAAATCTTTCGCGTGAGATAAACGATTTCACCCTAACAAATGTCTTCCTCGCGTTCGTTCACCCGTAATCGTTCGCCATTCACATCGGGATGTCAAGATGCGCGATTTAATTGTCCGACACGCGGCGATTTCTGCTGAGAGATGTAAACATCCGCCATCGTAAAAAGTTGTACGTATCCAGGGCTTAAGGCCCGGTCTACAATGAGTCGTTAGTCGTTAGTCAGAAGTCGCAACTATATATTGATCCTTTTCCTTTCTGGGTGGAAGAAAAAGGACCGACATAGTTCCGACTTCTGACTAACGACTAACAACTCATTGTAGACCAGGCCTAAGACTTAAGGCTTATAAGCCTTATGACGCATGCGTTATATAACCATAACGTATGCGTTAAGCAGTTACAGAATAGGGCCCCAGGACCGAAAGGTGAAAAGCGGGAAATGAACTTCGATATGTTCTCCCCTTTGTTTCAAAAGTTTTACGATCGCTTCTGCGAGAAACGTTAAAGGATCCTTTTTAGTTGCACAAAAGAAGACCCTTGAAACGGTCCTTGCTGTCATCCAAATGCTGAAATATGAAAGGCATCTTTGCGATCTCCGAGTCCCTCCGGTACTGAACAGCCTCGAGAAGTTTTCTGACGCGGCAAAGTTCTTTGGCACGAAAAAGTAAAGCTCACGGGCATGCTTTTCCTTCTCGGGAAGCCACGTTTCTGACGTGTCAAGTCACGAGGAGGAATGCGAGGCGTACGTAACGACATCTCGAAAATCGACCGATTGCTGTTATGCGAATCTACGATTCCAGTAAAAAAAAAATCGTCGATACGATGAGAAGAATCTAAGAGTTCTCCGTCCTTCCCGCTTCCTTCCTCCCTCGCTCATCAGAGAGTCCCCGGAAACCCGTTACTGCCTCCTACCCTCTTCCCTCTCCTCTCGTTCTATCTGCGCGTTCGTATGTCCGGTTTTCTATTTCGCTGTCGTCCTCGTCGACGGAACGGTGAGGAATGTCCCCAGGCTGTGCGAGGCGAAACGCGACGTTGCATATAAATCGGTAATTATACCTGCAAGTGACATCCGCCGTAAGTGCGAGATAATGAGAGCGCGAGATGAGTATAGAGGGAGGAACCGGAGCGGGAGGGACGCAGGGAACAGGACAGGAACGAGAGGATCGAGATCGAAGGAGGGAAAGGATTGATTCGAGATGCATCAATCGTACACACGCGAGCACGGACCCGCCGTAGGCACGTCTTATGTACAAAGTCTCCTCTCTCTCATTCTCTCTCTCTCTCTCTCTCCCCCCCTCCCACCCTCTGTTTCCCCTTACCGCCATGTTTCATGGGATACCCCCCTGGGAACGACGAGTCAATAAGCATCTCTCTTTCCTCGCGCGCGAAGCCACAGGCAGGTTAAAATGTCTCAACTTGGGGGCCCGGGCTCGACCCCCTCCCCCTTACGTCCTTTTGCTCCTTTTCCTCCCTCCGCTCTCCTTCCTCAACGCGGACAGCCGGGACGGCCGGTTGCCCGGAGGGTAGACGCGCGGCCACGAATTATGAAGATTAGGACGTTGGATCCTGGAGATGGATGGATCCGCGACGGAACTGAATGTAACGGACCCGTGCGACCGGGGGGATTTCTTCGGCGCGATGTCGACGGCCGTCCGGGGCTTTCCATTCATTCGTAATACAGGAACGTGCATCGAGATCCTCTCGATTCCATCCCCCTTCGCCGCAGTCTTCGATCAGAGATCGGACATCGAGTCTTGACATCGTGCTGATGACCTCTTAAACAAAATTACATTTCTTCTTTTTGTTTTCTTATCAAAGATCTTACCCGAGATGCGACCACAATTTCGCTCGCTGTACCTCGAGAATTAAGAATACACGCGGTAAGACTTATTCCTACCCTTCTCTTACATCTCCCGTACCGCTGTACCAACGCACGCATACATACACATAAGGAAGACACGAAGGGGGAGGCGATGGGAAGGTACAGCGGCAGCGGCGGCGGCGGCGGCGGCGGCGGCGGCGGTGTAAAAAACAAAAACGTGGCTCGCCACAGAGCGCTCCACGGACGGTCCCAAAAGCTATTTGAGACCACCCCGAGAGCCGAGGAGGCCCAGCAATCTGGTACCGTTGGAATGCGACCGCTGGAACGAAAAAACAAAACAAATTTTTATGTCCCCCCGCCGCCCCGCCAAAATCCCCCCCCCCCCCCTCTTCGCCTCGTCCCCGTTCAGATCCAAGCCGCCCACTTGAGCGGAGGCATTAGGCATTACTTAGAACCCCCCCTGAGTCCACCGCGAAGGAAGGGTACGTCTCCCCTACCGCCCTTCCTCCGCTCGCAGGGCGGCAACCACTTTGACGGTAAGAAAGAGCTCGATTTCACGCTGCGAATTGTCCACGGTTCATTTCTAAGGGCCTCCCCGAAGAATTCAGGTGGGCTCACCGGGTCCCATTATCGGTCCCCGGGGCTAGTTTCGTAGAAATTTTGTTTTGCGATAACGGAACGTTATCTCCTCGTTGAGAAGGACTAAGTGACCGTCCGTCCATAGAATGTTTTTCGTAGAACAGTTCGACCGGACTCTGAGTCATAAGTTTCAAAGCGTGCGCCGATAATCTGGACTGACCACTTACACGGTCGTTCCCAAAGTGGATTTGGACTGCATTAGGTAGATGGAGAAACAATTTTTCAAGATATATACCAAGGACCTTTAAACGTGCACAATACGACCCTTCACGAAACTTTGCGCTGTTGAGATCAAATTCCATTTCGGGTCGTTTCTACCTTTATCGAATTCTTTTCGGTAGAACAATATTATCGTACAGATTTCTGTACGAATCATAGTTCGATAGATCTCAGAATGTCCCCGGTAGATCTTTGCATAGAGAACTTTACATATAGAACTTAGAACTTGGAAAATCCTCGAATTCAGTAAAACATAAAATCCTAAAGATCGAGCGTGAATGCGCGAGGTATATGATTTCTGTGGCGTGATTATTATTGTGAGCGGCCACACTTCGAATGGATGCCCGTGATCGCTGATCGCAGACTTGTAATTTAAAATAGATCACGTCCCTTCGGTGAGGCACGAACGTGGGAAGAGGCTCTGGTTCGACGTGTCCGAGGTATCACCTGAGAACGAGTTGATGAGCGCCGAGCTCTGGCTGCACCACAAGGAAACACACGCGAGGAAGAGACATGGCTCCTACACGATTACGGTATACCGGGTGTTGAGGGCCGAGAACGGGTAAGGATTGTCCATTTTCTGTACTTCCAGAGTTAGTTAAGAATCGCGTTAACACACCGGGAATTAACGCGAGAATCTGAGGATCGGGTTACAATTTTTTCGAGAGACTTAGGCTGATGGCAGAGAATGATCCGTAAACGCCTAAGGCCCGGTTTTACCAAACGTCGTTTAACTTTAATCTTACAATTAGTTTAAATCACGTTTGTTTCTTTCCAAGGTAACAGTTAGAAAGAGACAAAGAATGAATTAAACTAAGCTTAAAGCCTAAGACTGTCTTAGTAAGACAAGGCCGAGAAAAACGCAAGTCGTATACAATAGCCAATAAGACAGTCTTAGGCGTTTACGGATCGCTCTCTGCCATCAGCCTTAACGAGAGAGTTAAAAAGAATGAAACACCTTCGCGTTGCGATCATAAGGCCAAGACGAAAGACGCGTATCCGCCTTTGTGCCAAGGACGCCTAAGGTTAGACCAATTTCACGTTCCTCCGGGCATCCTTCGCGGTTTTTGACATCGTCATCGTACCCCTAATTAGGAGGTCCTTAATCCTTCGCCAGAAAGAGGCATTTGTTCTACCTGGAACGCAGGGGAGAAAATCTCCCAGTATTCCGCCGAACGTTCTCTCTTTCGTGAATCCTCCATCTTTCTCGCTCGTGCACCTTCGCCGTTCAGCGGACAAGACGCGTTTCAGCTCCCTTTCGTATTGTATCGCAAGACGTATTTATCTTGCGGTTTGAAGGAACAATTGGGCGCGGATAACGCGCCGAGCGGACGAGCGGATAATCGGAAGTACATCGCGATACAGATGTAGCCTTTAACCGCGGGGCCACCGGCGGGGAACCGTCCTGTCCCCGGGTGGGAACCGAATCGTAAAAAGGAAAGCGTGGTGAGTTAATTCGAGAGGGCAGACCTCCTCCACGCCGGCGGTAAATGGCGACGGTCTGTCTAGAGAGACGCTCTATCTATAATGAACGTGTGCCGGCTCCGTCCTACAAACCGTGAGTCACGAGACGCTCCGTCGCCGCTAATGGCCGTCGTAGCCGTGCTTTTAAGTACGCTTTCGGGCGCGTCCCTTCTGTTAATTCGAAAAGAATTGTCCCTCCTCACAGATCCTCGCCGCTAGGTGGTTCTCGCTGCTCGAGCCATCCTAATTGTCTTTCACGTTCGACATGCCGATGAGCGACCAGGGAGAGCCGTGACCGAAAGTTTTTTATAACGAATTCGGTTGCTTGCACTGAGTACACACTAAAGAACGAATCAGACTAGCAATTGTTATCTCGGATTGAATTGGAATTCGCGATCGGCAATTGTCCTTTAGCCAATGAGAGCAAAGCAGCCAGCGATGTAATCGGCTCTCATTGGCTAGAAGATAATCGTTAATCGCCAATTCCAATCCAATCTGAGTTAGCAATTGCTAGTCTGATTCGGTCTCAAGGCTTGTTCACAGTCAATTCTTATGTCTAACTTTGTCTTAAATACGTGTTCAAAGGGTATTTAGCCAAAAAATGATCCCTGTGGATGCTACACAGATTATTCACTGGCTGAGAAATATTTTAAGAGATATTTAAAACGATCTTCAAATATAAGAATTGACTGTAGACACTTAGGCCTATTCTAAACCCTCTTTTAATAATAAAAGCGCCTCTAAAAGTGGCTAATAAGTCTTCTGATTGGCTACAAGTCGCTTTTAGAAACGCTTTTATCGATAAAAGAGGATTCAGACTACGGGCCTTGGAGTGCACTCAGTGTGCACTGGTGCAAGCAACCGAATTCGCTATTAGATTTCGATCAGCGGCGGTTTTCCGTACGAGAGAATCGAGCGAGGTGACAAATTTGTAGGACCACGAGGACTAATTTCTCTCTGAAAATTCGCGTCGAGGATCCGGAGACGCCCGCTTCTGAAGTAGCTTAGCGCATTCGGCCTCATCGAGGTCCCCGCACTAAGCTCCCAACACATCAGAAGGTCCGGTTATCCGGAGTTTGGATCTTTTGCTTTGCGATTCGGCCACTTAACACTGGCTCCTCAGCTCCATTTGATTTACTGCCGGGGGACTGAGGGGTGACAGCTGAGAGCATGTCGCCCCCCCGGGGAACTTCTGGCACCGGCGGCACGGCGACCTGAGCCTGACCGATATACAGGCCCCGACAGGAAACGCTATTCCGTAAATTGAGGTAAATTAGCCGTGGAGACGGGCTAACAGGCCTCTCCTCGCATGTCTCTTCGTCTCCTCTGCCTACGCAGTTGCGCGCGTTCTGCGTCTCCATCTTCTTCTCGCCCTCCACGCCGGGCTCTTTCGGCTCTTTCCATCAAAGTCAAACTATGCGTGACGCATCCTCCATCTCCTTCTTTTTCTCCTCCCCTGCCTCTTCTTCGTCGCGAGACAAGCTGGCGACTCGTTGCTTTCGTAATGAAACCTCCTCGCGACGCATCGTTACGAACGATGAGCGCGGAATTCCAATGGTAAACGTCGATAAGTATTCTCGAAGTAAGAAAAGTTGCATTGAAGATTGATACGACGGAATTGGTCGTTTGTAAATGAAAATTGAAGCGAAGCTTCGAGAACTTCTGGAAAATTTTCTAAATTGCTTCAGAAATAAAATCCTTATATTTCCATTTAGTTGTTTTTTTTACAGATATTTAAGTTTGACAATTGTTCATGTGTTAAAATTCCTAGCAAGAGCGGTAAATAACAGTAAAGTTTCCCAACACAACGTTCATGTACAACGGATAAATCCAGCGTCCAATCGAAACTTGATTCGTCTTGTCCAGAAAAGTCGAAATTTGGTCTCGCCAAATTTGCAAATCGATCTCGTTCGAATCTCGGCAGGAAGCCATTCAGGGCTCAGCTCCGAGGAATCTCACAGTCGTTCAATTACGATAATCGATTTGCGGAAAAAAATGATAAGAGTCAGATGCTGCGAAGATCATTTGCTTAATGAACAATGATCGGCGTGTTTTCTCCGACTGAGGATCTTATTGATGCGCGGCACGCGCGGCTACGCGATTAATTAGAAATTACAATACGTGGAATCACAATAAGGCATTCGCGTCGGGCGACACGTCGTGCGTGACGATCGGCGATGTTGAGCGTGCAGCATCGGCTCTACATCGTGTTTACGCGCACGGAGAATACAAGAATACAAGCAAAAATACCTGTCGTTGCACCGTAATCAGTAATGCGTGTTTGTGGCGATTTCATGTAATACAATCGAGACTGAAATTCCCTGCATTTCTCGCGTCCATTTCTATCAATTAATCTCGGCTTAACTGACTTTTATCTCCTTCCGATTCGGAGAATTAGAGAAAGATAAAAAGTAAGCCGAGTCGAGGTGAAAATTAATCTACATTGATAAAAATGGATACATTAAACGAATTAGGATTAAAGATTTTAAAAATGTTCTAGGATATACCTTACGTAAATATGTTTTTGATTTAAGAAATCTCTGGGTGCGTGCGAATAATTATTAGTAGACAGTACGTATGAATAGTTATTAGTGCGTATATGAGGATACGTGGTTTTTCGCAATCGCTTATTGGTGGTGCAATCAAACCTTGTCGAATCGCTCGAGCTCTTTTCAGATCGACTTTCGAAACAGAGGCTGTCAATTTATATCACTTTAACTACAATTTCTTTTACTGCTTACATTTGGGCCTTCGATCTTCCTACGTTGCTTTGTATATAACGAGCGTGACTTGTTTATTAATTACACGGAAAGAAAATGTAGCTGCCGTAGCTAAAAACAGCAGTTGGCGACTAAATGTCAGTCGTAAAATATGGACAGCTAATATGTAGTTGTGATTAACTAAATATTTTGCTATTGTGCCTATTAGGTGCGACAGCAAACCGTTTGCTGTGGCTTAGAAATTTATGTCAGCAAAATATTTTTGGCAAACCATGATTAGCTACGGTAGCGAAAAAAAATTTTTTTTTCAGTGTAAGCTGTGTACAACTTTTCTCGACATTGAACGGTAAATATTTTTCTTCTGGGAAAGTTACTTTATAAAAGTATCTAGTTACAGTTTTTTTTCGCTAAAAATGTAACTAGTTACAGTTACAAACTACCAGTTCTGAAAAGTAACGCATTACAGTTTACAGTTACCCAAAAATTAACGAATCGTTACTTTGCAGTTACTTTCTTGCGACGAAAATAAACATATCAAATCTGCGTTTGAATTTAAAGCGTCGATAAAGGCGTTTATGCGCAAATGCAAGGCTTAATGCGATCCGTAGAGGTTTAAAAAATATATAAAGTAACTATTAATGTAACTGAGTTAGGCTACAGTTACAGATGGAGAGAAAGTAACGAAGTTAACTTAGAGTTACCAAAAAAGTAACTGTAACTTCGTTACAAGTAACGAGTTACTTCCCAGCCCTGTTTGTCTTGAAATAAAAATATTAGTGACAAGTTCATGTACCTGTAATGTTTATTGCAAATTCATCTGGAAGCGATAGTAGAGATGCAGCTCTCTCTTGTCTCAATTTTAGTACTCGAGAATTACAGTACACTGATGCCGTAAATGTGACGGACAGCAAGAAGGGGTGGCTGATATTCAACATGACCGGGACTCTTGAGCACTGGCTGAAAAATCCATACGAAAATGAAGGACTGTATCTCTCTGTGTATGCCATTAATCGTCCAGGTAAGCGCTTTATCTTATCTAATTTTCCTCCATTGTTTACGTCTCGAAGAAAATGCCGCGAGATATACATTCGGTATTTAAAATCGCAAAATAGAGAGTTTTCATTCTCAACCGCGCTATTCCCGCAAAGATAGGTGTTGTAGCTGAATATTATTAAAGGACAAAAAGAAGATATCTATTAAGAGAAAGAGAAAAGACAGAACGTACAAAGCAAGGACTCCGAACACGAATTAAATCGCAAGTCTCTTCTACTAAACATGTTTCCATCCGAACTTCTTAGCCCGACTTCTTAGGAACAGCGTGCTAAATATAAAACTGCTTCCGCTTTGATAATAAACACGTTCGATGTTTATCGAAATCGGATTGCGAGCAAAGTGTGAGAAAGCCCAAACTTCGACTGTTAACCATCCGGAAATACGTCTTTCGTATATATTTTCAGGCGACAAAAGCGGTAACAATTGAAATAAAACAACCGATCGACATACGAGCCTCTCGGAAGCCAAACCGATCGACTCCACTTTTTCTAAATTTTCGCACGCATTGATTAGTTTACGATTCTGTCGATTTTCCTTGTTTTTTATTATATTTTATTTGAGTTAGGTCGGCTTCCGAGAGCCTCATAATGTTTTAAAGATGCAGGTAGGTCTCGAGTGTTTTATTTGGATTAGAGGAGGGTATCCTTGGTTCTCACACGCCTGGCGGCCTCATATGTATTCGTGTGTTTCTTTCGTGTACTATTACCTGTTCAGCGCTCTCACCGCCATACCTTTGTGCTAAAGCGCGTGTGCGTGACACGAAAGATTAGTGGCGAATTGACAGCTCTTGAATTTTGAATCTCTTCCTAGTTTTTCTGCGTTTGTCTCATTCACAAGAAGGACGATATGCTAACTCGTATCACATCTTATCGCGATTTCAGATGGACGGGAAATTGCATTTCGCGGCGTCGAAGGTACAAGGAATATCGAGAAAATCGAGGAACCTCTCTAATGCTGGAAAATTAAATTTTTCGTCGGTTCACTAAGTAAAGACTATAATACATTCAAGTCACTATTGCAAATTTGCATTATGAACGAAATGTCGAAACTATATTATTTCGAATCGTCTTGGAAACTTTGTGGCTTTGTCGCGCATAAATTATCATCCGACTTTTGCTCTCGAATGTCTCTCTTCATTTCTCTTTCTACAATTTAGTACAATCATATTGGAAAAGTGCTCGAGCTCTTATCCTGTCGCGTTTGAGAAGTCAAACGTGGTGCTCCCTTGATCTTGCTTGCGATTGACTCGCACACTTTGTTACCACTCGAGATACATCATCTGCGATGGCGTCGCCTTGTCTTCCCACGCTGATGAGATAAACTCAGGAATACGAGAGGTGCTCACGTTATACTCAAGAGACCAGCAGTCTCGAGTAGGACAAGAGAGAAAGAAAAACAGAGAAAGAGGGAGAGAGAGAGAAAGAGAGAAATGGGAAGAAAAAAATACGAAGAAAAGGCGCACGATTTTGTCGCTGAATTTCTAAAGAGAATCGTTGCCAAAGTAGATCGGTAATCTGAGTCTGCTGGATGATCGAGATAAAAATTCCGCTCAATTCGATAACACGACGCTGGCGAATCGAGCAGATCGTGATTGCGCTAACACGATTTGCCAGTAAATTATTATATTTTATGTAAAAATTGTAAGATAGCAACGTAGAATATTAATGTGAGTACAAATGTGAAATCAAGTGTACCACAAGTAGCATACGCGTATCCAAGTACATATCTACATTTGCGCGTGTATGTGTGTGTGTGGTTTGTTGTTCGCCGCGCCTAGATTATTTCATTACTTGCTCTCTTTCTCTCCCTCTCTCTCTCTCTCTCTCTCTCTCTCTATCTCTCTCTCTCTCTCTCTCTCATCTGGCTTCTCTCCTCGTTCCTCTTGTCTCTCGCTCTTCAGAACCCGCAACCGGTTTACCTTTGATCGTTCAATATAAAACGCAAGATCGGAGAGTCACATGCCTCTCACGAATCTTTACGCTTGATTCTGCCCCCTCCCCCCCCCTCTCTCTCCTTCTCTCGCTGTGTGTTTCTCCGTGAGAAACTCCAAGGATAACCCACCTGTGTATCTAAATATAAGCTAATCCTAAATATAAACCGACAATAATTATACATTCTTCAGCCACATCATTCCTCAGAGCGCACGAATGTAAAAGTGCACGAGTCAAATTGGCAGCAACTCTTTGTTGGCCAGGCGAGCAGTAATGCTGCCTATTCCGGCAAAGTTGTGACTTCGAAGATTTATTTTACATCAATGCCGGTAATAATAGCTAAGAGTGGCGTTCTGGTCAATTCCCAGGTGTCGAATAAGACGTCAGTTTACGAATTTAATTCACCAAGCTGAATGAAAGGTTCTATTATGGCTCATTCAGAAAACAGTACGCTTTCCCATAAAACCTGTACGCTCATTGGATTATCACTCGTCGCTCATCGCTCATCGCGTCCAGTCTGAATGAGCCATTACTCCGACGGTACGTCCGCGATCGCGAGAACGAAATCGCGCTCACTCTTCTCCTTCTCCCTCCTGCTCTCCTATCCTGCGCGACACACGCGCAGTTTCTCTGAACTCGGGATTAATAACGAGAGGAGAAACGTGTCGCCGGCGAACGCGATCCCGACGACGTTTCACCGAGTGCAGTCAACCTTTTAATTTACAGCCGCGAACGAGCGGCATCGGCGGCGGCATCGCGTGCCCGCTTTCGAAAACCGTAATTACGTTTCCCTTATGCGGCTACGCGTACGCGTACACGGGAGGTAAAGCGTAGATTGGTCATTCATCGCCGCGTGCCGCGCCGATCGCGGCGCGACCGGCCGCCTTTGGTATCGCCGGCCGATGCTGGAACGAATGCGGGAAGGATGACAAAATTACTTGACACAGAACTTGAATACGTCGTCTGTCGCCTCGCCTCGCCTCGCCTCGCCTTGCCGCGCCTCGCGCGGCCGAACGGGGGGCACGCATCGCGCGCGAGCCGCGATGCCGCGGCGGCCGCGGCGGCCGCGGTGCCGTGCCGCGCGGTGCCGGCGGCATCGGCGCATTCCTCAGGAGCAGCGCGAAGTGCGGCAGCGACTGCGGCGGCAGGTGTCCGCCGCAATCACGGCGAATGCGCATTCCTGCCGGTCAATTTACTAGCTTTCTCGGGCCCCGCGCGGTACACGGTACACTGTGCCCCGCACGAGCGCCCGGATCGTTTGCATACACGATCGCGGCTCGGGCCGCGATCGCCCCGAGATTTATCCTCGCGGAACGATTGTCTCCTCCCCTCGAGGCCTCGCTCGACGAGGGAGATGTACTCGCGCGAACGAGCGAATGTAATCGGTTTCGATCGAGTTATCGGCGCAACGGAGTTGGAACGATGGGGAAAAAGAAAAGAATCGAGGGGCTTTGATCGCGAAATCGAAAATAGACGCGTGGATCGGCGAATCCGACCCGCGTCTAAACGGGCGCGAATTTCGAAAGCCACGAAGTTACCCGAACGATCCTTCCGCGCGATATCGGAATTTTCCAGAGTAATTAAAACGAGGCGACTCGGATACGCGCGTTGCGAAGTGAACGTCTGAGACAAGTCGGGCTCGACTTCGCGCGCCGGGATTCCTGAGCGTTCAATATTCATGAAGGTTGACTATTAATAATCCCCGAGACGCAGGCCATTCTAATAAACACGTATATACACGCGATACATTCCGCTTACGGAACAGAGATTCGAAATATGTGAGCGGGAGCCTCCTGTTTTTCGCAACGCGATTTTCGCGGAACGTCTCTCGAGCGCGCCGACGGTAACGATGCATCGATATTTCTAGCAGCTTTCAACATGTTTGCCTACTCTTTATGCATTCTCTTTTGTTTCCTCCTCTACTTTAGACGTGTCTCTTTCGTATACCGCATTATTTCACTTCTTATACTTTGCGTCATTCGACGGTAGCTCTACGTTATCCCTCTGAAGAGATATATTCTTAAAGAAAAATAAACTGCTACAAGAGAGAGAGAGAGAGAGAGAGAGAGCCAGTTGGATCACTTCACTCCTTTCATCGCTTCAATTGATATATTGTAGCCCACGAAATGAAACCGGAAGAAGTCGGGTTGACGGTAGGACGCGGTGATCAGGAGAGGCTACCCTTCATAGCGGGCTACTTCAAGAACTCGGGCGTAAGGCAGCGCAAGGTCCGACAGAAGCGCGAGGTCAAGAAGAAGAAGAAGAACGAGTCCACCAGTTGGGACTACCAAAATAATCCTTACATTGGTAAATCCACATATCGTGATCTCAATTTAACTCAGATGTACATTTACAGTGTATATAATTGATTCGTATAAAGGAGAACCAGAAGAGAAAAGGGAACGCATATACGCACGGAATTTTCTTTTAAAATTTACCCCGAAAATCGTATAATCGTGGGACAACGTGGCATTTTGAAGAACTTTATGAGAGTTTTTTTTTTTACATTTTACCATACATTTTACTAGTGAAATGTATACTAAGTATAATTACTAATAAAAAGTATAGTAAAATTTCCAAAAACTCATAAAATTCTTTAAAATGCTATGTCGTCCCACGATTACATGATTTTCAGGATAAGAGAAAACTCTCTCCGTGTATATACAGGGTGTTATGTAATACCCGCATCAACGCTTATTGTGGGATAGAGTGGACTAGACTAAGTCGAAAAGTCCTGTACCACTTTGCAGGTTTTGCAATAGTTAACGAATTATGAATTATTAAAAATCGCCGTCTAAGGCGGGTCCACTGCCCAATTCAAACGTGCGGCGAGATCGATCGATCGTTACTAGGCGCGCAGAGAGTTGTAACGATCGATCGATCTCGCC